ATTAGATAATGCATACTAAAGAAAGAAGGACATCAACAGAACTGAGTATATGCAAAGGTTGTAAAAACAGTTTAGAACAAATAAAAGATAAATGCGAAAGATGGATAAGACAAGACCACAATATGAAGGTGATACCAGAGTTGCTAATAGAAAAGACTAACAATAGAATAAATGTAACATCAGAGCAGATACTAGAAGATAGAATAATAGAAGAATGAAAAAGAGACAAAATGAAGTTATTAGAAATAAGACAAACAGAAGAATTAAAACTAGAACTGATTAGAAAATAAGGATTAAATAGCACGATTACAAAACAGTTAGTAGAGATATTAATATGAAACAAGAAGAGAGACAAAAGAAAATACAGTTTCTATACTGATGAAGCATTGTATAAGAAGAAAGAAAAAAATAATAAGGAAAAAATGGGTATTGGCTGGGTACAAGTAGAAGACAAAGAAGACTGGCCAGAGGAGAAAATTGCATTAAAACTGAAAGGATAGCCTTCAGCAACAATAGCAGAATTAGCAGCAATATAGGTAGCAATTCTAACAGTACCAGAAGAAAAAAGCATAAAAGTGTTTACAGACAGCATAGCAGTATTAAAAAACATTAATAGTGCACTTTAATATATAGAAAAAAAAAAGAATCTTGAAAAAAAAAATGCAATATAGATAATGAACATTGTAGGTTTAATTAAGAGTAAAAACATTAGGATAGAAATGATCAAGATTAAAAGTCATAGCAGAAATAAGTGAAATGACAGAGCAGATACTCTTGCAAAAAAAGAAGCAAAATGCCAAAATAAAATATATGCAGATAAAGTCAAATATGATGAGATAGAGTACTATTTAGAGTGGGAAAACAAGAAAATTGTCATACTGGCAAGACTTCTGTGCAAAATAATAGCAAATGCCAATATAGGAGCTAGTTAAAGAGAGACAAACTCAATACAGATACTAGAACCAGAAACAGAAAATACATTGCACAATTGGTCGAGTTTTTGGAAAGAAATGAATAGAACAAAGGGAGTCTATTGTACATTAAGAAAACTTAGCACAAGAAGAGCCACAGTAATCAAGTGCATAATGGATAGCCTACCAATACTTGAGGAGCTAAACAGAAGAAGACTAGAAATATATACAATAGCAAAGTGTCAAGTATGCCAAGTTGGAGAAAAAGAGACCCAGACACATCTAGCAAGTTGTAGTGAACAAAAGAGTTTGTAGAAGCGAATTCAGAAAGTTGCAACAGCGAGAGCATAGAATGGACTCAAGGAAGAGGAGAAAAATAGAATTCTATCATAAGTTCTTTATAAGACATTATTTGGAGAAATAGAAGCAGAAGAAATCACAAATAGAAAAGTGCTAATAAAAGGACTCATAACGCTAAAAGTAGGAAAAAGATTAGAGTGACTTCTAAACAAACAAGCAATGCAGAAGTGCATAGATATAGTTACAAGAATAGTATGAATCACCTTCTATGACCAAGTATGGAGGGTGCAATGTGAAAAAATACAAGCTTGGGAAAAGAAGATCAATATAATGAACAAGATAAAAAAGGATGTTCGTGCAAGAGAAAAACCAAAGAAGAAGATAAAAAAAGATAAACAAGCTAAAAAAGAGAAAAAAGAAAGGAAAGTATGAAAGGCAGACCAAATGAAGAAAGAAGCTTTGAAGACAATAAATATGCTTGTCACAGAAGGGAGAAGACTCTTCTGGTATGGCTTTAAGTAGTTAGATGAGCAGTCTATCTCTAACTAGGATAGTGTAGCAGATTGCACTTAGGTGCTATTAGGATGGCTAAGTGATGCTAGACTTAAATGTTGGGAAATTCTATATAATTGTACATGTATATAGTTTCAAGAATCTTAATAAAGGAGGATAGTGATCCTAGTGTAGTGGTTGGGTTGTCATCCTCCAAGTGGCAGGTCTAAGGTTCAAATCCCACCTATAATGAAATTTGGAAATTATATTTGTGATATGGAAACTGTCTCCTGTCGATTGGTTGGCCTCATGCAGCTGTAACTCAGGTACACCAAGTCGGGGTTCTACTAACATTGGGAGCTTGGGGCATCTATGTGAAGTGTAACATTACATGGTACATATACATAGAGGAATGTTAACAACCAGTATTGCATAAGACTTCAATGCAAACCCATAATAAGACTACTGGGCATAGAAGACTAAGGAACTGAGGAGACAGAATCCTACTTGGAAATTTCTAAGTAAAGAGGTAGCACAAACTTTTAACAGTGCTGTCAGACTGATAGAAGCCCATAAAACACCTTCATAGGAACCAAAAATTAAAACTAGACATTAAGATGTGTAGAGGAGCATATAACCAACCAGGCTGCCAGATTCACCAGAGGAAAAGAATACTAAGGTATACTATACCAGGCTATCTGAATTGGTAGTCTGAACTGAGATCGATGGTTCTGAGTTGTGACTAGTAGAAGATGATGGAGAAGATGTCAGAAAGATAGGTACCGGGGTTTGGGTGAACTTTACAAGGGTAGAAATAGTGTAACATAGCAGTTTAAAGTTAGCCTAATTGCAAGTATTAGGTAACTATAATATGTTACATAAAACTAGGTTAGCTGTGTGTAGGACACAGAAGGCTCTAGTAATGATGCTTCTGAGGATACACTGCATGAAATAAGGTATAGGATCCTAAGGATACGGGTAAGCATCTAGACCTTCTCGACTGACTTACGTAACAGAGATGATCTAGTGATACAGTAAAGGTTGCAGTACAGAGGTTTTAAATAGGCAACACCCCTAGTTGGATTGCAAGTATGGCAGCTAGTGTAGAACCATCAGCGGACTACTTAATTAGATACCAAAAGTGTATGTATGACTAGTTGTACTCTCTAATGTAAGGTGACTCCTTTGAGGCCTTGGTCATGAGTTTCTATATCCTGACTATACTGAATAAAAAGCTCTAGCTTCAAAAGAAGCTAGTTTAACATAAAAAAAAAAAAAAAAGAATCTTAATAAAGTACTAGTGTAACTGCTTAAGGTTTAAAAAAAAAAAAAAAAATAGATAAAATATTTTAAAAAAATATTCTTGTATATATTGTAAAGTTCTCTGTAGTGGCTTCAAATTTTTAGTAGTTATACAAAATTGTTGATTATGATTGGTCTAAATCATATGATTTTTATATGATTTATATAAACAATTTATGATACCTTATTTTTAAACATATGTATCTTAATCAATTTTTAACCAATTTTAATAAATTTATTATTATTAGAATCAGAAAAACATATTCTATTTAAAAGCTGTTTACTTAAGAAAATATTTTTTTATTTTTAATTAAATAAAAATTTACCAAAAGTTTTATATATAATTTGAAAATTGTATACTTTATCTTTAAAAAAGTTTTATTAGTAACATATAGTTATCTATACTATATTATAAAAAAATTTGTGTATAACATTTAGCTACAAAGGTAATGCTTAGATTACTTTATATAAATAAATACAATTGTATAACTAAAATATTTGTAATTTGTCTAAATACTTAAATTAAATAAAAATTTTATTAGAATTATATCTAATTTAATAAAATTTAATTAAATACTAATTGTATAGGTTTTTATAATTGTATTTAATACTATTTTTTTCTTTATTGTGTAACAACAGATTCACAGCTAGTTTTATATAAAAATTTTAAAAAACATAAAACTATATAAAAAATAATCCATATATTTCTTATCTTTAATAATATTAAAAATAATTTTAATTAGAATTATTAATTATTAAATATAAGCAATGATAAAAAAAATATATATAAAAATATTAGAAATTAACAAATATATAGAAGATATAGTAACTTAGTAAAGTAAATAAGTTGTCAACTCTTCAAGTAATAGGTTGGAAGTTTAAAACCTACTGATAGTGAAAATTTGAATAATCACTTATATAATATATAGACAGTATTATAGTGATGGCATTCTGTTAATTAGTTAGAATAAGATATCTGTAACTATAGTTATATTAGTATAATTAGCAAGTTATAGAGCATCCATGTAATGTTAAAATTATACAGAGAAATGCAAACTAACATTAGATGATGCAAACCTAAGATAAGATCTTGTATTATATAAATCTATAGAACTAGAAAGTCAAAGCTTACTTGAAAAGGCCTAAGCAGAAAGATAATATAAATCTTTAATAGTATCACTATAAAGACTAGATCTAAAAAATAAATATTAAAGTAAAAGGAATTAGATAGGCAAAAACCTCAAATAAGAGATACCACCAACCAGACTATCAGAAGTCTTTAACCAAAGAAAAAGAATCTTGAAAAGCAGTTTCTAAAATATTAAGAGCAGGTTATAGTTCTTTCAAACTATCTAAATTAGAAGTCTAAGAACTAAAGCAAAATATAACTTAAGTACTAGAGATATGCTATAAAGTTAGTATTAAGGTTTGAATAAACTTTGCAAAAATAAGCTCTATTAACAAAAGATTAAATATAAGTAGTTAGTTAGCAGAAAGGCTCTCTAAAACTCTACAATCAGATAATATATTCTGAAATGTATAATGGTTTGATAAATGTACAAACAATTAGATTAGGGTTAGGTTAGATGGCACTTTAGTATACAAAAACTTGTATAGTTAGAAAAGTATCAAAAATCAGATGATTTTTTAGAAAAAAGTAAAAAAACTTGAAATTATATATAAAGAAACTGACTATTTATATATTAAAAGAAAGGAGAAGAAGTAGGTCTCTAATAAAAAATAATCAAATAATTAATAACATAGCTCTTATTTGTTAGGTGTAGTATAGAGGTCACCTTGTATAAGTTATATACTGTAAAGTCCTGAATATAAGCAACTCCCGAAAATAAGCAATACTCTGCATTTCGAAATCAAAATGCTAGAAAAATAAAATAAGCAACCCCTTTTTTAAAAATTACTAAATATGTATACTGTATATAAAATTTATTATAAATTTTATTAATTTCAATTCAAATTTTTTACAAAAAAATCAATTTAATCTTCTAGTTCTTCAGCAGATAAACTATCTTCTTCAACTACCTTAAACAAATCTTCATTATCATCGATTTTACTATTCTCTTGATCTGAATTATATAATAAATTGTCTTCTGTCCCATCTAATTCATTAGAAATACCACATTTTTTAAATGATTTAATAATCATTTCTGCAGAAATATCATCCCATGTTTCTAAAATCCATTGGCAAATTAAACTATATGATGGTCATTTTAAATTTCCTTTCTTAGTTAACTGAAATTCACCATTACTCATTCACAAATGCTATTTTTCCTTTAATCAGTCTTTAAATAGTTTATTAATACTCACATCTAAAGGTTGTACAATTGATGTTAAACCTCTCAGAATAATAGCTTTATAAATATTATTAACTGCACATTTATTTTTTACAATATTAGTAAGATGTTCTTCGAATGAATCCATCACAAGCAAAGACAAAGGTTTGTTTACAATTGATGCTCCAGGTCACTTGTTCCAAACTTGGTTAATCTATTCGCTCATTAAATTTTCTTTTATCCAGGCACTTTCATGCATACGTACAAAAATGCCACAAGGCAAATTAGAAAGAATTTGTATACCTTGAAAAATTACCATAGGAGGGAGTTTGTTACCATTTGCCGTAATTGCCAAAACACAAGTAAACTGGTTTTTTTCATTTCTAGTTGTTCTAATTTGAACCATTTTAGCACCTTTATTATTAATTGTATAAAAACTTGTCATGTCAAAATAAACAGGTGTTTTATCCATGTTTACAATTTGAGAAAGATCATACTGATATTTTAATCGAGCTTGAATTACAAATTTATGAAATTTAATTATTTTTTCAGTAAGATCTTCAGGTAACTTTTGGCTAATTTTAGTACGATGGTGAAGAGAAAGTTGGTGTCATTTTAAAAACTAGTAAAACCAAGATTTGGATGCATGAAATTGTTGTGAAGCACCCAGATATTTATCTGCACATGTTGTTGATAAAATTGTATATATTTGCATTTTAATAGAATCTGATGTTACTGCAATTCCCATTTGTCAAAGTTCATTTAACCATTTAATAAGCTCTTCTTCAGCAGCTGGGTAAAATGAAGTTCTTCCTGCACCAACACGTCAGTTACCAGATACAACATTATTAAATTTTTTTTCATTATTCTTCCATCGTAATACCATAGACTGATCAATACCAAAGCGACGTGAGGCAGCCAAAACACTAATCCATTTTGCTTCTTGAATAATGGTAAATTTTTCTGATACCTTATAAGAAGTTCTTTGAACATGACTTCTAACTTTAACTGCCTTGTTATTGCCGATAACAGTATTTATTTTTTTTTTTTGTTTTTGTTTTAGTCTTATGGGGTTTTTTTTGGTTTTCTTTTTTTTTTTTAGTATATGAAAAAACTAAACTACCAGTATTCAACGTGAAAAAGATACAGTGCATAGCATAAGTAACTGACCCCTTCTGGATCATCATACAGGTAGCACAAAATTTTAATTTTTTTTTATTAAAAAAAACAAATTTAGTACTGGTTACTAATATATTGTAAAGTCTCCATTGGACTTAATTAATGCCTCTATGCGCTTTTTTACACTAGCAGCTAATTTTACTGCAAGACTACTTGGTAATTGATTCCATTCATTGTTTATTTCCGCTTTCAAAGTACTAAGATTACTAATTTTTTTTTTTGCAAGATTAATTTTCATGATCGCTCATACATTCTCAATAGGGTTTTGATCAGGTGAAACAGATGGCCAGAGAAGTACCTTTATATCATTTTTTTTTTTCTATTTTTTTACTAACTTGAATCAGTGCTTAGGATCGTTATCCTCTTGCAAAACCCACTTTATGTGACCTTGACAAAAAAGCTTACTAGCGGATGACAGAAGACCTTTTTCATAAATAGTAATCATAAATTTAGCATTTAAATTTTTTTGAAAAAAAATTAGCTTGCCAAAACCTGAAGAAGAAAAACAGCCTCAAATGTGGACCTTCAATGGATGCTTAACAATATTAAAAATTTTTTTTTTACCTGGGAAGGTCCACACCTTTTTTTTTCGCTGATTCAGACGGAAAGTACACTCATCAAAAAAAATCACATGACTAAAGTTATAGTTCTTATGCTGGTTCACCCATATCAGATGATTTTCTCTATGCCTTTCGGTAAGGAAAGGCTTAGAAAGTGGATTCATATACCAGGCATCCCCTTCATGCAAACGATGCTGGATTGTATCTTTGCTCACTTTGACATTACATTTTTCCATTTCCAACTTTATTTCAGTGACTGTTATATCAAAATTTTTTTCAGCTATATTCCTTATTTTTTCATCCTGTTTTTTGCTTGTAATATGCTTACGGCCTGATTTTGGTTTGTTATTGAGGTCCTTTGTTTCATTTCACTTTTTGAGCACATTAATTACAATGCCCTTACTGCAGTAGACATACTTTGCAATGGCTTCATATCCAAGCCTGGGACCTAGTGGGTGAGTGTATAAAAACACGATCTCATATCGCTTATCGATAGAAAGTAATTATAGAATGTCAATTAACCTCAAAAAGGTAAAGATTATCAGTATTAGTAATGTTCTGCAAATGCCGAAATTTATAGATCATGTCATGTAATATTTGGCGAGATACGAGGAGTCAGTTACTTATGCTGCGCATTGTATGTACAAAAAAAAAATCTTGATTTAGAAAAATACAGTGTGTATAAAATGTGGTACAACACTAATGCATTTTTTTTTTTTTAAAAAAAAAAAAAAGGATACCATAACATACATATATACATCGTTTGCATCCAAGATAAGTCTATACAATAAAACTGAATAATAGAATTCAGACATTCAATTGTAAAATAAATTTGTGTTTTATTTTACAACTTACAGGATATATTATAGTCTTTTTTTTTTATAATGGATTGATGAATTTCAAATTTTTTAAAAATTCATTCCCGATATATAATTTATTATGCAAAACTTGTAAAACTGGTAAATTTGAATTGCGTCTATTCTTTAAAACTCTAATTTCACATTGATAACAAAGACCAACATTATTTGTTTTTTATTCTACCAGCATAACCTATGCTTATAGATTTTTAAAATAAAAATCATGATCAACTGTACTGTAATGCAAGTTGGTTATTAATATATAAGATAATAGATCAATAAAAATCGAGTATTTTAAAGTCCCGAATTTAAGCAACCTTCTGAAAAAATTTAGCTAAAATGGGTGGCTTAGGGGGTTGCTTATATTCGAGACTTTACAGTAATTATAATTAAATTACAATAAAGATAGTAGCTATTAATAACTAATAGCTTTAGCAAAAGTAAAAAAAAACAAATATATATTTAGCATGTTTATATATTTTTTAACAATCTGGTTTAATTAAGTAATTTATTAATTAAAATATATAATTTAATTTTTTAATAATATATTTATATTAAATAAATAAAAATTATTATAATATAAATTAAACTTATTAAGTTTAGATCTCAGATTATATATCTGAGTTTTTATTTTTTATATGTAATTTAAAAGCAAGCTTTTCTTTATAAAAACTTTAATTAAATTTCAACAAAATTAAAGGCATGACTTTATTATTAATATTTAAAAAAATAAAAATAAATTAAACTTATCAGAGATGTGACATAGATAGGTTGTCAACCTCCAAGTAGTAGATCAAGAGTTTAAATCTCAGTGATAGCAAAAAAATTTGCAATTCTTTCTATATTATGGTTAACTGTTTTCTGTGATTAGTTGGAATTAGATAACTATAACCTGTATCATACTAGTATAACTAAAAGGTCTAGGCACTTGTACAACATTGTACAAAAGAACACAAACTGGTACTAAATAGTATAAATTCAAGATAAGTCATTAGACTGTATAAATTACAGGAACCAGATAGGAAGATGAAAACCCACTTAGAAGATCTGAGTAGAAAGATAACTTAAACTTTTAATAATGCTATTGTAAAGACTAAATTTATAAAATAGAGCTAGAACTTGTAAAATTAGGCAAATGTGCTAATCTTTAAAGAAAGACTGAATAAACCAACTAGGCTGCTGAAATTTTCAAATTTCAAAAGAAAAAGATACATGTTAGTAAATATATAAACCCAGATATATGGTTATGATTTACCTTTCTAAACTATCTAAAATAGCAGCTTGATAGAATTTAAATTGAATACCAAAGTAGTAAGAATATGTTGTGAAGTTAGTACCAAGATTGGTATAAACTTTACAAAGGTATAGCAGTTTAATGATATATTCTAACTGCTAATGTTAATTTCAGTTATAGTAATATTAGGTTAACTTTAAGAATAAGATACAGAAGTTCTAAAAAGTTTAGTACAAAGTCAAAGGTTTTAAAGAACTGCTTTAAAGACTTAGTGATCATGATATATTTTTATTAGCATTGGCTAAGATTATTGTTTAACAGAGATAGGTAGATGAATATGGAAACTAGAGTGATTAAATAGAAAACTACAAGCAGGTTTCAGAAATAGTAGCTAATATAGAACCTTTAGGCAAACTACTTAAATTAGACAATGACTAAAGTTATATAAGTAGCTAGTTGAACACTTTTTTCATAATTGCTTTCTGTAGTTGTAATATAATTATTAGCCAAATATACTATCAATAAAATCCTAAATCACAAGTACTCACCTTAATATTAAAAAAAAAATAGAATAAATTAAACTTATTTTTATTATATAAAAAGTAACAATTATAATAAAATTTTTAAAAATTAGAATTATATTTATTTTTATTACAAAATAGATCAGTAAATTTATATATTTTCAACTCTTTGAGAATATACTTACACTTATATTCTTTATTAAAAATGTTATTATTATTTGTTGTTTTTTTAAATTTTTTAAATTTTTTGAAAATATATATTTTTTTTTTTTTTTTTTGGTATTAAGGTGAGGCCTTGCTTATATCTTTATTAATAATTTAAAATAGTTACATGTA